GGAGTTTCTTTTTCTCTAACCCTATGGAAAAATGTCGCTGGCTGCCGTTTAGCATTATGATCTTTCTCTTTCCCTAGCGTTGTGCGCAAGCTTTTTTCCCTCCGGTGGTTGTACTTTTAGTTATATCTTTTAAGCTGACGATCCTCTTGGTAGCCTTTTGAATGAGTATGGCTGTTTTGTTGGCAATGTTAGGATTTTTGAATGAGAGAGGTGAGAAATAAAATTTGTAGTTTAATTGGCAACATTTTATCCTATTAGTCTATCGCAGTCACTTATTGGTGCGTCCTTAAAATATTGTTGCAAAACTATTTTAGGATAAGTTCAATTTGAATATTTTTTTAGAACAAGCTTGTTGGGAGGACTTGATGTATCTTTACAAGAACTCGACGTCTTTAAGTGTGGGTGGAGCTCAGTGTTCATATGGTGCTTTTCTTTTTGTTTGGCTTGGGGGGGCACTAAGTGTGGTATTAGAAATTCTCAAGTATACAAAAAAGTCTGATTTGTGTTTTTTTATATTTATTGTGTTTTTTTTTTATATTTATATTTTATGGGTTATTAGCCATTTTATAAAGTTAACGAGTGAAGAAAAAGATCCCATACACTATGTCTGGTGAAGTTTTTAGCACAACTTTGGCATATACAAAGAGTCCAAAAGTCACCAAAAGAACTACTTTCCAGGTAAAGTGTTTCAGATGATTTTACAAGTTAACACTGTGTTAGGAACGTTGGCTTTGAACTGATTTTAAGAAGAGCCCTGTATAAAGCTGGAGTAAGGCTTACATTCCTTTTAAAATGTTGCAGATGGTTGTGTCTGGGCTCTAGTATTACAAACTCTTCTGTGTGTTTAAGACTACCAAACTAGCCTCATTGATAAGTTCTTGCTAACTTAAAAGTTAAATCAGCTTATAAAAGTTGAATAGCAACTTTAAATTGGTATTTTCATATAAATGTTTTATGTTGTTTTTCCTATTGTAACATAACAACATTGAAGCTTTCTCTGTCCAGTCACTGCAGTTTTGAACTCAGCCTCTAAATATGCAGTGTTGATTACATCCATTACTGCAATCTCCAGAAACAAAAGATCTTTAAAAGTACCAGCTTCTTCCAAAATGCCAGTTTATAATAAATCCTGTCAGAGTCTCTTCAGTTATTTTGATAGTCTGTCTCCTCCAATTTAACTGTAAGCTCCATGAGGAGAGGAACCTTATCATTGAGTCTGGGGACTTGGGTGCCTGGGATAAGGTTGGCTTTCAGCGAATATTGTTAGATGAATAAAACCTGAGTTTGAAAGCAATTATTAAGCTAGCACTATTTGTTTAAATAATTCTAGATATGAGACTTCCATTTTTGGGTGGAAATTGATTTTAATTATCTTATTTCAGGATGAGCTAATAAAAGCAATTACAGCTCGCTCAGCCAGACAGAGGAGTTCTGAATACTCGGATGACTTTGACAGTGATGAGATTGGTATGTGAGAACATGGAAAAATAAACCACTTTTCTTCTTTTTGTTTTCTTAGTTATAGTTAGCCGATTCCTCCCAAAAAATTACTTATGCTAAAATTATATCTATGAATTCACTAGTTTTAGATTCCAACTTTTTATCAAATAAAAAGGCACTCTTAATTTTCAAGAAGTTGTATGATTGTCCTTGGTTGTTTCTGAATGTGAATAACTAACTGTCGGTTTGCGGTAAAGGGTGCCTACCAGTGATAAATCAAGTTCATCTTTGAGATGAACCCTATGAGAACCTACAGAGAGATTATAGCTAGGGCCCCTAGAACTAAACTTCGGTGCATACGGAATCACTTTTATAATGCTTTCTATAAATCAGATTTTTTGGGCTGTAATAGGGACTCAGTTATAAAAATTCACTATATTAGTACTGGTATGATTTAATTTGGTTTCTTTTGATTATGTAAAAATATTAACATTTAGGTATAAACATACAGAGTTCTAAATTTGAAATTCAGTCTTTTATACTTTAAGATTCAGTGAATAATTCTTATGATTAAATGAATGATTCATTTAATCATTGCTTTATGGTTAACATTCTGTATTATTATTCTTATAGTAAAATCTAATGAAGCTGTTTATATATAAAAGTTTTGTATGCCCAAATCTAAATATCCATGGCCAATTGTTATTTTGAGGAAACTGGGTGATTTTTCTCAGGGCAAGCATAATGCTTGGCACACTATTCACACTTGATAAGTATGCTTTGAATAAATTAATGAAATTAAAATTTATATTTTATAAGTACCAATAAAAACTGCCGAAGTTGTTCATTTCTAGTCTTTAAGGTAATCTTTGATTAATGTAACCTTTGAAACTTTAAGATATACTATTGAAGATATTTTTCTTCCATTTTTCGGTTTCCTTAGGTGATATTTCTGACACCTCCATAGATGAAAACTCACTCAAGAAAACAGTAAATGATTTCCATATATCAGATGATGAAGAAAATAATTCTCCAAAACTGTCTTTTTTGAAAACCAATAAACCAAATAGTGACACGATGAAAGAGGAGCCAGCATTCCCCATCAAAAACAATGCGCAAATCTCACCTGATGGAGGTGAAGACAGGGTTGGAAATCCTTCAGCTGAATCTCAAAATGAAGACCAAGACACTGAAAAAGAGAAACTTAAGATGAAACCCAAACCCAGAATTCTTTCAATCAAAAGCACACTTTCAGGTAATTTGTTAGGTCATTATAACTGCATTTCTTGAAAATTTATTTTAAGAAAACCAGGCACAAAATACCTTCATATGGTAGCAAGTAAATATTAAAAAAAAAAAAATCAGACTTAACTTTTCCATTTTACAGACATAAATCAAAATAATAGAACTGTAGAGAAAACCCATAATTCTGATGTCCAGTGGTATATGTCATGTAGCACCTATGCTGGTGCCTGATAGAAGGCCAAAGTACCTTCAGTTATCCACAGCTGTGCCTCCTGAAGCTCCTGGGTCCAGCCTTGCCTCAGTCTGTGAGCTTTAATTTTGTTTTTAGGGATGAAACTGCAATGGAATCCTTTCTAATCCATCTCATACTACAGAGACTAAAGTTTTAGCAGCACTGAAACTAGTCCTTAAAACAATCATTTCAGTGCCCCCATTTGCCAGAATATTGTTTGATATTTATATATTTGAAGGGAGAGAGTTTTGTTGTTTCTTTTAAGTCTCAGACTTGCCTTTAGAAAGAAGAAGCGCCATTCAGTTTCTCTATTCCCTACGAAAAACCCACCAAACTCAGTATTCTGAGGGTAAATTCCTGGTGTGATCTGGGATTACAGTAGTTTCTCCACAATTCTACTGAGCCCTGGGCCCAGTGGAACAAAGGTGGAGTGGAGCAGGAGCCAGCCCCTCTGAGATCCCCGGGCCACCACACAGAAACACGGGCATGGAAGGTTAAGGGTTGTGTGCCCTCCAGTCTTCTTTACTTTCTGTTTTTATAAGAGCAATAGTACTTGATGTTAACTTGCATAAAAATTGCTTTCCTTTTTATTAGCATTAAATGTATTGATAAGTATTACGTGCTTTACGTAGTAGATATCGCTCTTTCAAATGAGAGGCTATGAGCAGAGCAAAGAATACTAGAATAGTGTCCAGGACACTGAAAACAAAACAAAACCCAAAACCACCCTATATTAGGTATGTGTGACCTCAGCATAGTGTTCTCATGAGGAAAAGGGTCCAACTTGCTCTTCCCATTCCACACAGTTGTTTAGGATCAGTTGATGTATGTGCTGTGAACTACTAAATGTGGCAAAATTGTGACCACAAGGCATATGAAACAATTCACTTGCTAAAATGCACCTTTCCTGTGTATTGAATACAATAAAAAGAAAATGGGGAGAAAGGAACATAATTGAACTTTAGGTAAACAGTCCAATAGTTCACCATTGCCCAAAGTCCATTCCATAGGTTGTCCGTTGGTATTACGGGGAAAACAGAGTTATAGAAAATTTAAACTGATTTCTTTATGAGAATTTCTGGGAGCCATTAATAAAGAAAGATGCATAGTGACTTGTCTAGAAGGATAGAGTAGGCAGTGTTTTCTAGTCTTATTTGAGCTTAGAAGCCTGTTTTTGTGTATTATATTTAGCCTATTTGTCTTGATTCTTAAAAGTTTTTTATTAGGCTAATAAGAAAATGTGAGCACATAGAGGGTAAAGTTGGTATTCTACAGGTAGAAATAGGTAACTATAACTGTATGATAGATAATTAGCAATAATCCACCTATTTAATACCTTTTTTTTTTTAACCTGTGATGAGTTAAAATATATTTTAAATACAAGATAGCACCTGGATTCTAAGGGCTATACACAGATGTGCAGTGCTGTATTTTTAAATAATCACTAGTCCTTCCTCCTGCCTCTGTCACTGCCCTAGTTACTCCATCCCTTGGTCCTGTTTTTCCATCACTTGTTCTCTTTGTCACAGACAGTGCTTCCCTTGTCAGGGGAGAATCCTCCTGGCAGTCTCCACATCGCATCTTTTCAGTTCCATGACCTTAAAGGCATACCCTCCAACCCCAAATAGGAAGCACTGACTTTCCCACTGGTTGCTCTGGACCGGGGAGGTGAAGTTTCAGTGATAAGCTGCATGGGTGGTGGTGGTGTGCACCAGGGGCCCACCCTTTGCACTGAGGGATGGAGGAAATAACTTAATCCACCAGAATCTACCACACGGCTGGAGAGGAGGAGAGACTACCCCAGAGGAAGCAGACGTGATAGACAAGCCGAAAAGAAAAGGAACAGACGTTTACCGCAGTCGTCAGTGGTCATTGAGCATTACCAGGTATCAGGCACTGTGCTCTGCACTTTGTATATATGATCTCATTCAAGTCCTGTGAGCACCTTAGGAATTAATTCTGAACTAATTTTACCAGTGGGCAACCAGGGTAGTGTAGGTTAAATGACTCGTGTGAGGTTACAGTGCTAATGAGTCAGAGCTGAGATTTAAATATGAAATATGAAAATAGTCAAACTTACAGAAACAGAGTAGGATGGCGATTGCCTGGGGCTGGGGATGGGGAAATGAGGAGGTGCTGTTCACCAGGTATAAAGTTTCAGTTATGCAGGATGGACATGTTCTAGAGATCTGCTGAACAATGTTGTGTCTTTAGTTAACAGCCCTGTATTGTGTGCCTAAAACTGTATGAAGAGGGCAGATCTCATGTTAAGTGTTCTTATCACAATAAAAAAAAATGGATTCAACACCCGCTTTCAGGCACTATACAATATTCTGCTTAAACAGGCCCGAAAGACATGCAGGCATTTTTCAGAAGCAGGAAGTGGACATTCTGGGCAGAGGGATCAGCTTGGGTGAGGGTATGGTAGTAGGAAGGGTTGTGACATTGATTCAAAACAGCCATCAGCCCAGCTTGTCAGGGACACAGCTGGAGAAATGGGTGTCAAGTGGACGGGGCAGCACAGGCAGCCGGGGACAAGACCGTGAAAGCTTCTGTGTTGTCCAAAGGCAATTAAGCTTGTATCCTGTAGGACTGGATGATGGGAGCCATTGAATTTTGTGGAGAAGAGCGATGTGATCTCATTTTCATTTTATGAGTATCACCAAGGCAGTAATCTAGTAAAGTTGAGGAGCTAACAGCAGGGATGTCTAAAGCGAGATAATGAGAGATTTAGGAAGTAGAATCAGTAGGGTATAATGATGCTTGGATATGGGGGGACAAAGGGAGGAATCTAGGGTGACTCTTGGAATTTGGATTGAACATTTAGAGTGTGGCTAAAATTGGCAATGACACATTTACATTGGTACCAACCGGAATCTTCTAGAAGCATTCATAAGTCCATTTATAGACGGAAAGGAGGAAGGAAGGTGTTAATTATTCCAGTTTTGAAATTTTGTCAGAAGGATGCATTGGTAGAGCAATGGAGAATTGAATATGTGTAACTGGTAAAATTTAGGCAAAAAGTTAATATAAAAAGTTTCTTATGTTTTGAGGGCTGGAAGTATACGGGCAATAGGTTGTTGTTTTAAATCTAGCAGTAATTGAAGTAGTAACTGAGCTATTTTAATAACTGTAGAGAAGTTTCATGAACTCAACAGCTCAAATCATCGAGCTCTTCATCGCACCCTCCAGTGAGAGCTGGCACTTCTACCCCATCCCAACATCTCCTCCTTAGTTGTAACAGCACTTACCTTTGTCTCGTAATTTATTTCTTTAGAATCAGCTCCCTTCCCGAACTATAAAGTCCTTGGACAGGACCATTTTCACAGTTTGATTATGAGGTCCAGGAACGTGAGTAATGTGTACAGGGCCCAGAAGCAGAGACTCAATTAAGGTTTGATAGACGAGCCCCATCATTGTGGAGGCCACAACTTTGTTTTGTTTGTTTTTAATAGTAAATGCAATGAGAATTCATAAAGTTGAGGAGCTAACTTCTCACAAAACTAAGGTAAAACTAGTTACTTCCATGATGGCAGCTATTTTTAAAATTTGGATTGTGAACTGTTGCTTCGCTGTGCTTACTGAAGCTCTGCCTAGAGAAGGGCATGGGCATCCTCTGGACTCTCCAGGACAGACAGCCAGGTGCATGGGCACAGGAGAAAAGTATGGTGGCACCTTGGGGTGTGGTTGAAGTCATGTCGGTTTTTGTACATCCACCATAAAACATTCCATTTTTCAGCAGAAAACAGCAGCAGCCTTGAAGCAGAAAACCACTTCACACCCTCACCTCGGCCAAGGAGCTTGTTGAGAAAGCACACGCTCAGGCAGGAAAAAGATGGGCTAGGAGAAGAGAAAGAAACTGCCCTCCAGAAAGAATTAGAGGCACATCCTGCACCTTCATCCCTCCTGGGACCAAATGACAGACAACGAGAAGCTGAGGAGAAAGCCTCTCCTGAAAGCCTTGATCCTGAGGTTAGCACTCCTGCTGAACTGATGAGCTGTGTTCTCAAATTCAGGCCTTGGCATCTAATCATAAGAGACACAGTATTTCTGTGTACGTGTGTGTGTGTGTGTGTGTTACATGTTTTCTTCAGCAGCTGATAAGGAAATAATTTTAAGTTTTTTTAATATACTGTATTCCATTGAGTCTGAAACTCTATCAGTTACAAGATGTAGCAAAGATATAGCATTATATTGTGTACTCCCATGAGAGAATAAAAATCTGCCAATTAAGCCATAGCACACCAGTAACTATAATATGCATCCGATTTCAGAGAAAGTACAATGTAGAAACAAATGTTGCCCTTTAGAATCTGTACAATATTGTATATCTTTAATTGCAAGAATTTATATTTTTATTTATGTATTTTTGAATTATGTAATTTGTGGTGTCTATGTAGGAAACGGCCAAACCTGTAGAGACTCTTTATGAGTTTGTTTGAGCCAAACTGATAATTACTGTGAAGCAAAATCTCAACAAATGGAGAAAATGCTCTGGAAAATAGCAGTTTTGCAGCTTATTTAATACATTAGAATCAAAGGAGGAGACTCAGGAGTGTTACATGAAATCCATTGTTGGTATAATGATTAGGGAGTAGGAGAAAGCGAAGCAGGGAAGTCTCTGGGATTGGATAAAAAGTAAAATGGAGGGACTCATACTCCTTTTATATTGCTGGATGCAGGATAGTTAACAATTAACATTTACAGCACACAGAGATGGTATTCAGGAAGCAAGTAACAATGAGGGGTTCTCTGGCCTCTTGCTCTGGTGAGGGGGGTGTGCCCTGAGGATCTGGAAAAGGAGATTACTCTGACATTTCAAAGGTATGTTATCTTAGATGCAAAACGATAATAGGCTCACATAAGGTAAAGATTGACCTTTGCCAAGGAAGCCACAGGCCTAGGATGTGACTACCTGCCATGACCTGCTTTTAGTTAGGAATTTTTATGTTCAGACCATTCTGTGTGATTACTTTGGTCTCTGAGTTTATGTGGCACGCCATGCAGGCCTCCCCTGAGCTTGTCAGATTTGGTATTAGGCCCCTTTTCATTCACACTGGCTAAGGACATTATAGCCAGTGTCATTTTATTCATTTGGTTTTATTTATTGAATGTTGATGGCACTAACCTATATTTTCAAGGCCATTCCAAAATGGAAGTAAATGTGATCTTTCAGGATTGCATTGGGGAGTTTACTATGTATCATTGTTAGGGGAGAACACGTGGCCCCTCTCTACACTTCACTATCGTTAGCGGACTTCCATCTCACATTTCAGAGGACAAGCATGGGAAGAACGTTCCTCCTCCATAATGTGCTTTAGCAGATCAGGGAAATGGAACTATATGGTCCCTGGCTAAGCTTCCATTAAGGAATTTTTGTGTTATCATGACATTCTATTTTTTATTTCTAATATAGAATTTGTGGTTTCAGTCTTTCTTGTTAAATCTTGATAGGCATTGCTCAGTTTTATTTAACTTTTCAAAGAACCAACTTTGGCTTTCTTAATTTTCTCTGTAGTTTGTTTCCAATTTCACTGATTATTACTCTTTGTTATTTCTTTCTTTGGGTTTAATTTGCTTACCTTTAAAATGCGTCCACTGACTTTAAACCTTTTATCCTTCCTAATAAAACCATTGAAAGCTATAAATTTCCCTCTGTGCACTGATTTAGCAGCACCCTTTTTTTTTTTTTTTTTTTTT